AAAAAATGGGGACAATTATAAGTAATTCGCTATACATGAGCAGGAGAAATTGAAAACAATAACTCAAATACTAGCTTTTGGGGGGCGTACCCTGCCTCGTAAGCATTGTGTTGCTGGTTATCTTTAAAAAACATGCATGTGAATTTCTTCTTTTTTGTGTACATGTATGTACATACATACATAATAATGTTTGTTTTGATTAGATCATGCGCTTGTTTAGAAGTACTTACGAGGAAAACAAAGTTTTTTTCTGTGGCGAATGCCAGCTGATGATGTGAATGGAACTGTTGCCAAGCCCCTTTTTGGCATGAGCGCGCGTGCGATAACGCTTCCCTGCTCTGCCTGAATAACAATTTGACAACTAATGTTTTCGATGTTTTCGTACAGTTGATTAAAAAGTACTTAAGTGGCTATTTAACGCTACACTAATTGATTGGACAAACCGATTTATTAAAACTCAAGTAGCAAATAGCAACACATATAATAACTGTTTATCATATCACACATTACTAGGCGTATAAATTTGTAATTGTGCATACATATATGGCATTGTGCTAATTTAGAAGGTACATTAATATTTGACCATGTAGTATTTGCTATATTAATTAGAAACGTATTGTGTTCAATGTGAGTTTTGGTGTGTAAAAGTGCCAACACACGTCGTTCCACAATTATGCAGATTATCCATTTAAATAAATATTTTCGAAGTTCCAGCTGTTTGTATAAAAACTAGGTAGCCTTTTTTCTGCTAATAATATTGTTGATATCATATAACACTTCAGTTAATGTTAATTTATTATCTTTATCATCAGTTTCGCGAGTGTTTACGCTTTTGGAAATATCATTTGCTACACCATTAGAGACGCACTGATTTTTCTGTATGCCTTACTCGTACTCTAATACTAAATAAAGATATCGGAATTAATGGATTAATAGATTAGCTAATTACTTTTATTATTGACCGCTGCTTTGCGATGTTTTTATACTTTCTTCTAGGAACATACCGTTATTAAGGCTGTAAAGGCACAATAGTGAAAATTAGATACAAGTGTCATTAATGCGTTTCACTATGTTTTATAATTTCTCAAATGGCATTTTAGTCATCAAGTACATATTAAAATATGTATGTAGACTCGACATCAGTCAATGTAATACTTCTCCCTCAAAAGGTATCTCAATAAATTCAGTTTGATCTAAACTTAATATAATATGGATTTCGCTTATAGATACTACGTTATTTACTAAAACTGCATCAGACACATCGTTAAGCCTACATATTTCTTTCTGATTCTTGGGGAAAAACAGATCTTCTTATTTCATCTGCTGAAACTTGTTCGTTGTTATTCAATTTCTTTCAAGTTCCGTAACGGCGCGTTTACATTGAACAATGCTGTCAAGGCAATGAAGATATACGTATTAGTTGTCAAAATTGTTCCAAAGGAAAAGTGTGCATGTACTGCTATTGTCATGACAGTATTGTCCGGTGTAAACCCTAAGTTACACCGAAAAACTAGTTGGGCTAGAAAAGGTTGTTCACATGTTCTCCCGCTTCATATCGATGGTCCTATGCAACAACGACACAATACAAAATTCAAAAAATAAAAACTGTCAAGTGATTGTTGTCTCTAATCCTTGTCTAATCCATTTATGTACATCCTTTGCTTAAGTAAGCAGTAAGAATTGCTAAAGTAAGTACAAACAAGTAAGAGCAGCGCTGTCTTCGGCTATGCCGAAGGCTTCATACCTTTCATGAACATCTGCAAATTTTAGTTTGACAGATTACTGATTTTGAATACATCTGCATACATCGATAGTGGAGTTACATACTTATATAAAAAATCGCCTCTAAACAATCAGAGGTATGGAGGATATACTTTATATGGCACCAATCTAAGTGATTTTCACTGCTATGTGATCGGTATGTAAACCGGTAACACAATTTATTGGGTTTAGTTTCCTACATAAAGGAGATATATCGCAAAAACTGGTATCTGAACAATCAGTGCTATAGCATAGATTTTGACGATTTTCTCAGTAGACTTTGTATTATTATTTATAAAATATCTTACGAAGTTTATCGGTTTTAGCTGTTCAAATAAAGGAGTTTTACAGTAAAATCCCATATCTGAACAATCAGTTGTATGGAATATAACGGGTGATTTTTTAAGAGCTTGATAACTTTTTTTTTTAAAAAAAACGCATAAAATTTGCAAAATCTCATCGGTTCTTTATTTGAAACGTTAGATTGGTCCATGACATTTACTTTTTGAAGATAATTTCATTTAAATGTTGACCGCGGCTGCGTCTTAGGTGGTCCATTCGGAAAGTCCAATTTTGGGCAACTTTTTCGAGCATTTCGGCCGGAATAGCCCGAATTTCTTCGGAAATGTTGTCTTCCAAAGCTGGAATAGTTGCTGGCTTATTTCTGTAGACTTTAGACTTGACGTAGCCCCACAAAAAATAGTCTAAAGGCGTCAAATCGCATGATCTTGGTGGCCAACTTACCGGTCCATTTCTTGAGATGAATTGTTCTCCGAAGTTTTCCCTCAAAATGGCCATAGAATCGCGAGCTGTGTGGCATGTAGCGCCATCTTGTTGAAACCACATGTCAACCAAGTTCAGTTCTTCCATTTTTGGCAACAAAAAGTTTGTTAGCATCGAACGATAGCGATCGCCATTCACCGTAACGTTGCGTCCAACAGCATCTTTGAAAAAATACGGTCCAATGATTCCACCAGCGTACAAACCACACCAAACAGTGCATTTTTCTTCTTCTTCTTCTTCTTCTTCTTCTTCTTCTTCTGGTTGCTCTTCACTCCAAATGCGGCAATTTTGCTTATTTACGAAGCCATTCAACCAGAAATGAGCCTCATTGCTGAACAAAATTTGTCGATAAAAAAGCGGATTTTCTGCCAACTTTTCTAGGGCCCATTCACTGAAAATTCGACGTTGTGGCAGATCGTTCGGCTTCAGTTCTTGCACGAGCTGTATTTTATACGGTTTTACACCAAGATCTTTGCGTAAAATCTTCCATGTGGTCGAATAACACAAACCCAATTGCTGCGAACGGCGACGAATCGACATTTCACGGTCTTCAGCAACACTCTCAGAAACAGACGCAATATTCTCTTCTGTACGCACTGTACGCATTCGTGTGGTTGGTTTAATGTCCAATAAAGTAAACTGAGTGCGAAACTTGGTCACAATCGCATTAATTGTTTGCTCACTTGGTCGATTATGTAGACCATAAATCGGACGCGCGAAACACATTTCGAACCGAACACTGATTTTGGTAATAAAATTCAATGATTTGCAAGCGTTGCTCGTTAGTAAGTCTATTCATGATGAAATTTCAAAGCATACTGAGCATCTTTCTCTTTGACACCATGTCTGAAATCCCACGTGATCTGTCAAATACTAATGCATGAAAATCCTAACCTCAAAAAAATCACCCGTTATAAATTCGCCTTGACCACCTTGTATAAATTCGCCTTGTTTTGAGCGAACACGTATATTAATCTGGCAATTCTTTGTGTGTTCGGAGTATTTCTCGATTTCGAATCATTCCCAAATTTTTTGGAACACTTGAATATCTCTAAAATTTCGTCCAAACTTTTCTTATAATTGAGAAGTGTTGGTGGCAGGTAAATTTTACCCTAAAACTATTGATAAACAAGCAAAAAATTAAAGTTTTTAATTGCTGGTATAAACTGTCAATTACATTTGCAATAGTGTTTATATGTGAGAAGTGGCTACGTTGATTCAGCACATAGATACAACTACGAACATATCGGCAGACAAGGGAAGGTGCTGGTCAAGGCAAAAGCCAAGCAGGTATAGAACTAAACCTATTTTTCCACAATATTTTCTGCAAGAAGATATTGCTGAACTAGCGAAATAGACCAGATTGGGTGAAATGTATATACATGTTTAGAGCCGCAATTCGTTTAAACACATTCAGAACTGCATAAAAATACTTCGTCCACGCCCATTTCAAATTGAGAACCGGTATGAATAAGAGTGACCTAAATCAGACTACATCAGACGTAACGGCTGACTCAGCTGGAGCAAATGAGGTGTCATCATCCACTGCTGGCTTAAGCCAAATAGAGCGAAATTCATCAGCTACATCCCTAACACAATTGACGACATTGGCTCAAACTTCTGAAAAGTCGGAAATAAAAAATGAACAGAAACAATCTACACCAGTGGAAGCGCACGCACTATCAGTCGGTGTCGGTCTCGACGCAATAACCGGCGATGCAGCTGGTAATGAAGTAGGCGAACGAAGTTGTTGGATTTGTTTTGCTACGGATGAAGATAATCGTCTGGCGCCGTGGGTGCAACCGTGTAAATGCCGAGGTACCACGAAATGGGTACACCAGAGTTGTTTGTATCGCTGGGTAGACGAGAAGCAAAAGGGAAATGCGATGAGAGCCGTGAGTTGTCAGCAGTGCCAAACAGAATATATTATTGTTTTCCCACATATGGGTAAAGTAGCAAATATATTGGAAGCTTTCGATAATTTAATCAAACGCTTAAGTCCCTTCCTGGCTGCTGGTATATTCGTTGGTTCTTTGTATTGGACAGCTGTAACATATGGAGCTGTCACTTTTCTACAGGTATGAAAAAAACGCAGTCCCAACTAAGCATTTAATTAAGTTATTTCTATAAATTTCAGATTGTCGGACACAAAAAAGGATTGGCTCTGATGGAAAATGGCGATCCCTTAATATTATTAATCGGCTTGCCTGCAATACCAGTAGGCTTAGTGCTTGGTCGCATGATTCGTTGGGAAGACGCCGTTATCCGCTTGATTCGTAACAGAAGAAGTGTTGCGCGAAAATTCCCGCTGATGAACTTCATTATACCTTATCCGTGAGTATTGTAATTCAACTTAATATCGGCGTATGGGGAAACTTACCCTCAAAAAGATTTTCCGTTCTAAATGTATGTATGTACATATCGCTACGTGAGAGGTAGATCGACATATGTATGTATCTCGGCAGCAAGTTCCAAGAACGCGCTATCTCAAAAACTTTTCAAGAACGCCCTATTTTAGAATTAGATTGAAAATCGCCCTATTTCAGATTTTATTGAAAAACACCCTATCATTGAAAATATGTTGAGTTAGGGAGTTTTTGAATCGGCAGCTGAGATAGGACCTTTTTGAATAAAATTCTGAAATGGGGCGTACTTAAAACAAATTCTAAAGAATGGTGAATGTGTTTTTTTTTTATTGGTGAACTTTTAGTAGGACCTACAATTCAATTCAGACTTAAATCGACCTTAGCGCTTATTCCCTTTCAGAAAACATATTTACAAATCTACCTTTAATTACATTAGTATGTTAATTATTTATTTTTTTGCTTTTAGCGAGGAAGAAGAGGAACAGTCAGCGCAAAATCCAGCCACACCTACATTGTCGGATCCAGTTTCGGCAACGCGAATATTTTGTGGTGCCCTTATACTTCCAACCATTTCAACTATAGTTGGCCGTTTGTTATTCGAATCCATTGAAAATACCCTGCATCGTACTCTTCTCGGCGGATTGACTTTTATTGCAGTAAAAGGCATATTAAAGATTTACCTTAAGCAACAACAATACACGCGAAAAAAGAAGCGTCGCATCGTCGATTATACGGATGAAAACGTTCGCATATATGTTAATCGCAGTACATCACGCCACCATGGCGCTGGTTCTGGTGCTGGTGGCGCTGGACCTGGGGCCAGTGGTGGAACAGGTGGTGCTGCGGCGTCTTCCGCTGGTACAAGTACAGATTCTCAAAGAGATGCAAACTTAATACCACAACCGCTAAACGATCGTATCAGCATGGTTTAAATAAGCGTTAAACCAGTTGAGGATAAATATTTCGTAATTGCCGTTATGGCTCCCACTTAAAATTTGCGGAAACAGCGAAACTTGCTAAATACAGATGTAAAAGATCTTTAAATATCCGCGCAAAATATAATAATTCTGAGCCGCCGTCTGTTCTTATTTTCTATTTCAGCTAACAAAATATTGTTAGAAAAAGCAAATTGATGTATGATACTAATCGCTACAAAAATTATAAAAAATCACTTAAATTCAAAAAACAAAAGCGTTTGTATTTAAATTGAATACAAAATTTATATCATAAAATACACGAGTATAAGTATACAAATGTTCAACGTGGTATTTTTGGTAGCACAGAATACTAAATTTATTCAAGTAAAAATACCGTAAAATTGCAAATGGAACTTTCGAATCCAATTTCATATTCGCTCAATGCACAATTACTCTATATACATAAAAACAAAATCCATTCGGTTAAGTGTGCTTTTGAAAATATACTATTATACGTACATCGCATACGAATATGTATTCGATTAAATTAACATTTATTTATGTATGTATGCACATACATACGTATGTACATATGTATGCTGAACGCCAAAAGTTAAGAAATAAAAACTTCACCTTGGCAAAAAAAAACAAAACAGAAAAAAATATTATTTGAAAAATATTTATATTTAGGTGAATAGTTTTAGGCATTGTTGGGTGAAATATTTGTTAGCTTTTGATTTCTATAAAACAAATGTATATTTCAACATCAATTTAAATTTTGGTTTCAGTAAAGAACGCTAGCACGTTAAATACCAAAAATATTTAGTTTTTATAGACCTTAACAAATACTTATGAACTAGAGGGCTGCACGAATTCATTCAAAACAGCTTGTGAATTATTCATATACAAAACGAATGAATGATTTTGGCTAAAATTTTTTTTTTATGGCCGTGTGTGAATCGGTAACAAAGTTTGCGGCAAGTAAATTTTTGACAACTATGAGGTGAATAAAATTTCAGTAGCTCATGAGGCTAGTGAAATTTTT